GCGGGCAGCCCCGATCCACACTCATCCCCACAATCAGGCCCTCGGAGGATATCAAACATAAATATGCTGCAGGCGGGCAGCCCCAATCCACACTCATCCTCACAAATCAGGCCCTCGACTTCACTCAGACATAAACCTCTCAAGCCACTCGGGCATTTTTGTAAAACAGGGCATTCGGCCCAAAACATTTATATGCATCAAAATAAAGTCATAAAATTGAGTTATGCAGTAAACAAGTATAAACATGACTGAGTATAGATTTTCAATCAAAAACAATGAGAGGATGGTAAGAAACATCCCCTAAGGGTCCAAACAGCATTGGCGCAAGGCCCAAACATGACATTCAGCCCAATTTACAGAAATTCTTTCTAAAACATATAAGTATCAAATGGTTTCAACAAAGTATGCAACTTTACAGTTGCTCCGAGACGGACCAAGTCACAATTCTCCAACAACGCACACCCACACGCCCGTCACCTAGCATGTGTGTCACTAAAAATAGTAGAATGATACAAAATCCGGGGTTTCATACCCTCAGGACCAGATTTACAATCGTTACTTACCTCAAAATGTGAAACTTTTTACTCTGCTATGCCTTTGCCTCACAAATCGGCCTTTGAATGCCTCGAATCTAGTCACAAATAATTCGTTTCGGTCAATAAAATTTATTGAAAGTAATTCCATAAGAAAATACTAATTTTTCATAAAAAATCAAAATTTAGCTCAAATATTGCCTGTAGGGCCCAGGTCTCGGAACCCGACGAAAGTTACAAAATCCAAAATTTCATTCAACCACGAGTCTACCCATACCAATTTTACCAAAATCTGACCTCAACTCGACCCTCAAATCTACAAATCTTATTTCTAAATTTCTAAGTTCCAATCTCCGATTTACACCTCAAAATCATGTAATCTAGTCGGATTATTCGATGATAATTCAATATTATGGAGTAGAAATGATCACAAGGGACTTACCTCAAGTTTTCCTTGAAAATATATCAAAAATTGCCTCTCCTCAAGCTCTAATTTGTCAAAAATGGAAAATGGGACGAAGTTCTTGTTTTTATAATTCTGCTCAGACAACCTCGGTTCTGCCTCGATCTTGGCCTTCGATCGAGGTCCTCAATCCTGGTCCTCGATCCTGGCCCTCGATCCCGGTTCTCGATCTTAGGCCTTCGATCATGTCTTCGACTCGGCCTTCGACCGTGACCCTCGACCCTGGGCTCGGTCATGGCTTCGATCGTGGCCCTCGACTCTAGGCTTGATCATGGCTTCAATCGTGGCCCTCGTCTTTGGGCTCGATCATAGCTTCAATCGTGGACCTCGACCCTAAGCTCGATTCTGAGAGATTTCTGGGCTCGAATCTGGCAGAAGAAATTTCCAACATAAGGAAATTGCAACAGCTGTTGTAGTTTAATTTTTGATCCGTTAACCATCCGAAACTAACCCGAGGCCCTCGGGACCTCAACCAAACATACCAACAAGTCCTAAAATATCATACAAACTTAGTCGAATCCTCAAATCACCTCAAACAACGCTAAAACCATGAATTATGCCCCAATTCAAGCCTAATAAACTTTGAAATTTTTAATTTCTACAAACAACTCCGGAACCTATCAAATCAAGTCTGATTGACCTCAAATTTTGCACACAAGTCCTAAATGACATAACAGAGGTATTACAATTTTCAGAATCGGATTCCGACCCTGATATCAAAAAGTCAACCCCCGATCAAACTTCTCAAAAATAAAACTTTCGGCATTTCAAGCCTAATTCCTCTACGGACTTCCAAATAACATTCCGGATACGCTCTTACACCCAAAATCACTATACAGAGCTATTGGAATCATCAAAATTCAAATCCGAGGCCGTTTACACATAGGTCCATATCCGGTCCACTTTTCTAACTTAAAATTTTTAATTATGAAATTAAGTGTCTCATTTCACTCCGAGTTCCTTACGGACTCGAACCAACTAACCCGATATAACATAATATAGCTAAATAACACAAAGAGAAGTAGGAATGGGGAAAACGGGGTTATAACTCTCTAAACGACCGGCCGGGTCGTTACACAAACTTACCTTACTACCCTTGTAAATTATTTTTTCACGTTTTTCTTTCATGTTCCTTGATTCAACTCCCTATCTTCCATTACTAGTATGATGGTTATCATACTTATTAGTAATATACTCGTACGAATCATAACCATACGAATCATGATAAGGAACATACCATGTTTTGTTATCACTTGAGTCTTCACCTGAATCATGATAAGGAATACACCCATCGTACTCCTCACCAGAATTACATGAATTGTTTCCTCCATCATCTTCGTCATAGGAATCCCAACATTCATCATCACTATATTCAACCATTCTTTCACCCCAATCGCTTGAATCGGCAAAAGACATGCTTATAGAAAAAATAATTGATTAATAATAAGAGGATCCCATAATAGCACACCTCTTGTAGTATGATTCAAATAAGCCCACTCAATCTCTTGTGTTTTATCTCATATTTATGAGTGTCACTCGTGTATAATCTCTGCCTCACTCCTTGAAAATCCTCAAACTTCGAGCTCAACTCACAAATCACCTATCCAAGACTTGAATTTTCTTGAAAATAATTTAAGAGTGAAGTTTATATAATCAAGAACAAACTTTTAAAAACTAAGGACGGGAGCCAAGAAATTTATATGAAAATAACGAGAAAAGCGCGAACGAATTGGCACGAAAGAAATAGTCAGTTTCAAATATTAAGAATGATTTAAATGCGAACTAGCACTAATTCGTCCTTAACAAGAATCCTCAATGAATCTTTCTTATCCAAAAGTAATCTTTCCCCAACAATCAACAAAAATAATTAAATAATTTTTTTCCTGGTTTTTTTTAAACTCAAGAACAATTTATTTTTTGTTTTCTTGTAAGCAACTCGACTAGGGTTTAGTCGAAAATAAAAACTATACTTTATTTGTCCTTTTTTTACTAATTCAGATCTTGATTTCATGACGGGGAACGTTGGTTTGTTAGAACAATACCCAAGACTTCACTCTGATACCAACTAATACGATCCGAGATCAACAATATAATGAAATATGAAAATAACAATAATTAAAGAAAAATTAATGATAGGTTTGATTAAAATAATTAAAATATTCTGAATAATGAAGTATAGAAGAAAATCTAGAACCTTAAGTGAATGTCTCAAGCAACAATCAAAATACTATCTGATCGCATCCCAAGAACGACAAATTAGAAAACCTAGATATAAAGAAAGGAGAAGAATATTACTATCAAGAACCTAAGTCTTGAAAACAGGTAATCCAAAATCAAACTCGAACCAAGAGGTTCCAAACCTCTCTCAAAAGTTTTCTTATGTCAAAATATACTAAGTGGCTAATGAAATAATCCTACGCTATTATAAATACCCAATGGGTAAAATAAAAAAAGTATCAAAGTTAATTTTCCAAAAAATAAACTCGCTAGGCCAAACCGTAACCTCAACTATAACATATAGTTGAACTGTGTCGAATTTTAGAAGCTTATTTTTTTTCAGTTCTTTAGGACCCTCTTGAACCGTAGCCAACGGTTGGTGAATCCATGTCACACGGTTTAGCTTGGGATCTTAATTCTTCCATTCTCAAGACTCCAAACATTGTATTCTTTGCATGAATCCTCAAAGTGATTCTCCAAACAATTTCTAATCACTTGTTGAAGATCATGTAGCTCCTTAGCGTGCATCCCTTCGACGTTCTTGTACTTGAAACGGGTTAATGGTCCACTAGATAATTTGGGGTCATTATCAATATATCCATTCTTTGACTTAGAGCGGGTTAATGGTCCACTAGAAATTTAGGGTCATTCTCAATATTCTCTGTTCTTGGACTTCGAGCGGGTTTAGATGAGGAAATTAAGAGGCGTTTCTGGGAAGACCTTGACGGGTTGGTCTGTGGCATTTCGCACAACGAGAAGTTATTCATAAGAGGAGATTTCAGTTGTCACATTGGGGAGATCTCTGGGGTTATGACGGTTTGCATGACGACTTTGGCTTTGGAGGTAGGAACGGAGGTGGTACTTCGTTGTTAGACTGTGCTAAAGCCTTTGACTTGGTTATTGCTAACTCGTGCTTTTCGAAGAGGGAAGAGCACTTATTCACCTTCCAGAGTTTATTGGCCAAGACTCAAATTGATTATCTACTCCTCCGAAAGTGTAATAGGGGTATGTGCATGGATTTTAAGGTTATACCGAGCGAGAATCTCACGACTCAGCATAGGTTATTGGTGATGAATTTAAAGATCGTGAAGAAGAGGAAGAAGAGGGTTGTGTATGGTAAACCTAGGATCAGGTGGGGTGACTTGACTAATGACAAAGTGCAAGAGTTGGGGGAGTAGTTGTTGGTTATGGGATCCTGGAGGAGCAGTGGGGACGCGAGTTGTATGTGGACCACGACAGCAGAGTGTATTAGAGTAGCTACGAGAGAGGTATTAGGGGTCTCGAAGAGTTTCTCTACCGGACACAATGGTGACTGATGGTGGAGTGAGGAGGTACACGAGAAAGTGGAAGCCAAGAACGTGACGTACTTGAATCTTATAGAGAGCATGGACGAGGAGGTACTTCAGCACCTTTTAAAATGAATATAAAGAGTGGAAATATACAGAAAATAAACTTATATTTCTACACAGATATAAACTCTTACATTAGGGTCGGTTATATATTCTAAAAACAAATAAAGAGAGTATATGAATTTGGTAAAATATAACTTTTATTTCACAAACTCTCTTTTTTAGTTTTATGCTAGGCATTAGCTCTAGTAACAGACTCATAGTTACCTGCAAAATGATGTAACTGAATTCATTAAATGAAAGCACTAATTTTGGCTTGAGAGCCTTTTAAGAAAAAATATATAATTTGTAAAGAAAACCTAGTTACTTCTCGTAAATAGGAAATTTTAGTTAAAACGAGTAAATAAGTTTGTATTATAGTATATATAGGAAAAGATCCCTTCCCAAATCCCTTAGCAAATGTATGCAATGGGCCTGGGGGTGCTTTTGCTGGGTCGAAGTATTGGGTCTGGCAAGTCAAGCAACATTCCATAGTTCATAAAATGCTCTTTCTTCTCGGTTTCTATTTTCCGAGAGACAGACATTCGGAGCGACGAAGAAAAGGAAAAACCAGAAGAATCAAAGATGAAGAAAATGGAGTTTACTAACTGGGCCACCTATTGTGCTGGGTGCTATCCTTGGTACAATCGTCGTCGTCAATCTTCTCTTCGTCCAGAATGTATGCCCTTTTTCTTTTTTCCTTCTCAGTTTATTTTAAGCAAATTATTTACCATTATAGGAATTAAATGGACCGAATTAAGAAGAATAGCTATATACAGTGCCTATTTGATTTATAGATTGATTGATGCATTGTTTCTTCCCCATCATATGGAAGTGTTTCACTGAAAGATTAAGAGAGAATTGTGAACTTTTCTGTGTATAGATCTCTGTCAAAGACAGTGTTTATATACAAATATCCTATTTGTAAAATAAAATGTAAAAATATTTTTTTTGTACACTTGTCCTATTTGTATTAGCTAAGTATAACTAACTCTAACATATTTTATTCCTCTAGAAACTTCTACAAAATGTAACAGTTGTACTAGTTTTAATCTGGACGGCTGTCTTTTAATTTATCAAGATTGTGACCAACGTCCTTGATGCAGCCACGTGTCTTATTCTTTTCAATACACATAAGTCTATTGACTTATTCGATGAAGACCTTTGTTCTCTTACATCCCCCTCAAGTTGGAGGGTATAGAAGTTGCCCCCAACTTGCTAAGAATGGAGTGGTGAGAAGGACCACAAAGGGATTTGGTAAAGATATCGGCAAGCTGTGAAACAGAGGGAATATAATAGAGTGTGATGAGGCCGGAAATGTACTGTTGGCGGACAAAATGGTAGTCCAACTCAACGTGTTTCGTCCGCTCGTGAAAGATGGAGTTTCTTACGATGTGAATCGTTGATTTGCTGTCAGAAAGTACAAGAACCGGCAATGATGGTGAAATAGAAAGATCTTCAAAGAACCTGGTGATTCAAGTTAGCTCTGCAACAATACGTCTCATGGATCTGTACTCCGCTTCGGCTGATGATAGAGAAAGAGAAGCTTATTTTATTCGATTTCCATGAGGCATGGGATCCACCAAAAGAAATATAAAATCCACTCATAGAGCGTCTTGTTTCCAGGTAAGAGGCCCAATCTTCATCGCAAAAAGAAAACAATTTGAGAAAAGGTGCTGAATTAAAGAGAATCCCTTGACCTGGGTCGGTTTGAAGATAGCGGAGAACATTTATAGCTGCAGTATAATACGAAAGTCAGGGACTTTGCATAAATTTGCTAATTTTAAGAATAGCAAAGGACAAATCGGGTCTCGTATGGGTTAAATAATTCAATTTTCCAACGAGATGTCGATAAACGGTAGGATTTGAAAGAAAGGGTCTGTGGTCTGCATGAAGCTTGGTAGAAGGCTCAAAAGGAGAAGCCACAGAAGAAGAATCAGACATATCAAACTCACGCAGTAAGTCCATGGTAAACGTTTTTTGACAGACAATGATCCCTTGTTTTTCCCTGATAACCTCCATACCTAGGAAATAATATAGGTTCCCTAACTCTTTAACTTTAAATTTTGTATGAAGAAACGTTTTGATGGCTGCAATTTCTATTAAATTATCTCCATTGATGAGTATGTCATCCACATAGACGGATATAATATAAGTAAGATTCCCTTCTTTCTTAAAGAATAGAGAGAAATCATTCAATGAAGAAGTATATCCTTTTAAACCCAAAGCACCAGCAAATCGATCATACCACTGCCGTGACACTTTTTTTAAACCATATAAAGATTTTCTAAGTAAGCACACATGATTGGGACTTGGTGGGGATAGTCTAGCTGGAAATTTTATGTAAACCTTCTCTTGGAGAGTGCCATGAAGAAAAACATTACTTACATCCAATTGATGAATTGGCCAGCCCTTTTTGGCTACAATTTCCAATAGACACCTTATGGTGGTCATCTTAACCACAGGTGAAAAGGTTTCACTGTAATCTATGCCTTCTTTTTTAATATCTCCTCTAACTACCAAATGTGCTTTAAGTCTTTCTATTGTCCCATCTGGTTTATGCTTAACCTTGTACACCCACTTACAAGGTAGGGCCTTTTTTCCAGTAGGCAGCAAAAATTCATCCCATGTATGGTTGGCCTTTAAGGCCTCAATTTCTAAATCTATGGCTTTCTGCCAGCCTGGGTCCAAAGAGGCTTAAGAATAGCTGCTAGGTTCTGAAATTCCTGAAATTGAATTTATGAGATACTAATTTTGAGGTGATAAAGCTCCAAAGGAACAAACTTGAGGCTTAGGGGGAAGAGCAAGATAAAAGTCAGTTAGGTCAGTTAGAAAAATATGATTGCACACATAATCATTAAGATGAACTGGCAATTTGGATTCTCTAGATGATTTTCTAAGCAACGGTGTGTTATGTGGGGTAGACACAGTTGGCCTAGGTAAATGATGAATTGGTGTTGAATCAATTCCAGGAGAAATAGGTGATGCAGGATTGTAGGGAGTGATATTGGTGCTAGGTGATATTTGATGAGAGGGAGATTCAAATGTAGTTGTGGTAGGTGAGTGAGATGTCTCAAACTCTAGTCTGAAGGGTGAAGAATAGTAGTACTATCTTGGGGAGAAGACAAAGGAAAATAATGTCTGGAGGTGAAGGATTAGATGCAAAAGGGTACGTGTCTTCACAAAAATGGACATCTCTGGACACAATTATTCTTTTGGAATGAAATTCCAATAATTTGTATCCCTTCTGTCCTAAAGGATATCCCAAGAAGACACAAGTTGTGGCTCTTGGATCAAATTTACCCCTTCCATTAGATAGAGTAGAAGCATAGCACAAACAACCAAAAGTCTTGGGATTGGCATAATCAGGTGGTTGGTTGAAAAGTATAGAATAGGGTGTCCTTCTTTTAAGTACCTTAGAAGGTAGTCTATTTATCAAGTGAGTGGTAGTCAACAAACATATATTCTCCCCAATAAAACAAATAGTAACCTTGGATTGAAATAGTAGTGCCCTAGAAATTTTCAACAAGTGCCTATATTTTCTCTCAACAATCCCATTTTGTTGAGGAGTAGCTACACAAGATGTTTGGTGAAGAATACCTTGAGAATGAAGGAAAGCAGACTCTTGAGTCCCTTTTTCAAGTTCAAAAGTATTATCTGTTCTCACAGTTTTTGAACTTTAACACCAAATTGTCTTTCAACCATAACTAAAAAATCTTCAAGACTCCAAAAGCATTGCTCTTGGTGCTTAAAAGAAAAGTCTAAGTTCCTCTAATATAATCATCTACCACATGTAAGAAATACTTGAAACCATTATGTGTAGTGACTTTATAGGGTCTCCATATATCCACGTGAATTAATTCAAATACTCTCTTTGATTTAATCTTACTTAAGGGAAAAGGACTTTTAGTTTTCCTAGTTTGAGGACAGATATCATGGAAACATTCAGTATTAGAAGGAGAAGAAATAAAACTAAGATGTTTCATTGATAAAAAAGGCAAGTGCCTCAATATACAATGCCAGATATTTAATCGGAGATTGCATTTGCAGAAAAAGGAAAAGAAACTGCAACTTTATTGAGAACATTCTTTTTTGGAGATGAAACTACAGTTTCTTCAGACTTATCCTTAAAGTTGATAGAATTAGGCTCCAATATATATAGTCCCTCTCTTGCTTCACCAAAAACTTAAGCCCTCTTCATTAAAGAGGCTTGCAACATACATTTCCATGAAGAGAATGAGAGAATGCAAAAAAATTGTGAACAAAACTTATTAACTGATAATAGATTGTACCTGAAACTAGGGACATGAAGCACATTTTCTAAGACATAATTAGGTAAAACAGAATTTTTCCCTATGTGAGTGGCAGTTACTTTAAAAGAATTAGGAAGATTTATGTCTAAAGGAATATCTAGATGAGACAAAGAAGTGAAAGTATTTGAATCAAAACACATGTGTTCTGATGCCCATGAATCTATAATCCATTTACTTGAATTAAAAACTGAGAAACATGATCCAGAGTATTTGATAATAGTACCAGCCACAGCATTTGCATTGATTTCTGAATTTGAACTCCCTGTATTTGCAATTTTGACTTGCTTGATCAGTTGAATCAGATGAGAAAACTGATCTTTTGACAGATGTTGATTCATCACCTTCTGTTGTTTGTTGTTATCTTCTCCATGTTCCCCTGAAATAGTAGCATTGCTTCTGATTCCACCTTGTATGTTCTTTCATTGGTAAATTCAAAATCATCTGGGAATCCTATGATTCTGTAATAATCTGCCACTTTGTGTCCTATTTTCTTGCAATAGGTACATGAGACATTATGATTAAACCATGTCCTCTTTTCTTTAGGAGTTGGTGATTTCTGTGGTGCATATCCAGATCTTGATATAGGACTGTTGTTCTTTTGAAATTGTCCTGAGATCTTTTGTTTTCCATTCCTTTATTAGAAGGTTCCTTGACTAGTGAAATTTGCTTGATTGCCCACCATGAAAAGTATTGGTATATGTGAGAGGATTAACATATATTTCTCTTTGATTTTTATCATGTAGAACCAGTGAATAGGCATGATTTATATTAGGTAAGGGGTTCATCAATAGAATGTTTTCCCGTGCCTGCAGTGGCAGAGCCAGAATTTTCATTAATGGGTATCAAAATATATAAAAATAAACATACGAGGGAATTAAGGGGAGTCAATACATAGTATATATATACATATAATATTTTTACCTACGTACACAGTATATTTTTCCCGCGAATGGGTGTCAAATAAGGTGGCCCTGCCCTGCTTGCCTGTCCATATGCTTCATTTAGTCCCATGAGGAATTGAATGAGCCTTTCATCCTCTTGTGACTTTTCCAGCATTTTTTTACCTTCACAAATGCATGTACATGTGCATTTTACATTAGAATTCAGTGAGTCCAATATTATCCCATAATCGCGTGAGTTTAGTGAAGTAACTTGCTATGTCACTTATTTCGTGAGATAAACCTTATAATTCCTTTTGCAGATAGTATAATTTGGCACCATTGGATTGGCCAAATCTGTGTTCCAAGCTGATCCAGAGCTCTCTAGCAGAATTAGAGTATATAACACTGTCTCCAATATCTTTGGATAAGGAGTTCAACAACCAAGATGTAACCATATCATTGCATCGTGACCAAGGTTGATAATCCTTGAAAGTGATAGGAGGAGATGCAAATGTTCCATTGATGAAGCCCACCTTGTTCTTTGCTGAAAGAGCTATAAGGATAAATCTCTTCCATCCCTGAAAACCCCTTCTATCATATATAATATTGACAAGCCTCATGCCTGGTACATCATAAGAGTGAAGGAAATAGGGATGATTGAGATCGAGATTGACCCCATTTCCAGTTGAGGTTTGAGCCACAAAAGTTTCAGTGGAATCAGGCATAATGAAGAATATAGATGACTGAGAATGATGATTTCAGATTACCCAAAATCGAGCTAGATTTGCTCTGATACCATGAAATATTAAGATAAAGAATTGTAAAATTTTGTGTATAGATCTCTATCAAAGACAATGTTTATATACAAATATCCTATTGTAAAATAAAATATAAAAATGAATTTCTGTACACTTGTCCTATTTTATTAGCTAAGTATAACTAACTCTAACAGATTTTATTCCTCTAGAAACATCTACAAAATTTAACAGTTGTACCAATTTTAATCTGGACGATTGTCTTTTAATCTATCAAATTTGTGACCAACGTCCTTGATGCAGCCGTGTGTCTTATTCTTTTCCACACACATAAGTCTATTGACTTTCGATGTATCCGATGAGTGTTGTGTCTGAGACTCTTCTTCTTTCTTCTTCCTCTCTTCTTCTTTGAGAAAATTCGATGAAGACCTCTGTTCTCTTACATTCACTTGATTCAATAATCTAATTTGACTCCTATTTAGGAGCTTGATTACGAGTTTCCCAGTTGCCAAAATGCAAAATATTGATTGATTTTCAGGTATTTTAATTGATAATTCTTGCATTTTTCTATAGGGAGTAGAGAGGTAATAGGAGCCGATAAAATGGAGTACAAGGTCTGCCTCAATCTAAGATGATGAGAATTTGATTTTTCTCTAGAAAAGTATAAAAGTGGAAGGTGCAAAGAAAGTTAATGGGGCTTGAACCGAAAAGCGGGGCATGAAGCGCATGCTTAAAGTGAAGTGCAAATTTAGTACTTTGATAATCAAATATCAATTAAATTAACTAATTTCAACATTCAATTTAGAATAATTGTGATATTTATCCAACTTCTCAAAGTTGAAATTCAAAGAATTGACCGTTTCTCAGTGGAATCACTTTGTCTGCCATTCTTTGAAGCGCGCATTTATGTGAAGTGCATGGCTTTGCCTATGAAGCTGTGACCCTTCACTTCGCATTGCTTTGTCGATTTTTTGGAGCGATTTTTTAATTCTTTGCTAAAGTCATAATTTTATTATTTAAATTAGTTTTCTATAGTTATATTTATAGTATGAAATTATTTTGGCTAGATTCGAGCTGATCGGAGTTGGAAAAATTGAGGGAAAGGCCTTTGTATTGATTGATTGAGCGAGGTTTGAGGTAAGTAATTTGTATAACCTTGTGTGGGAGAAATTCCCTTAGGATTTGGTATTGTTGTGACAATTTGTGATGTTTGAAGGCCGCGTACACGAGGGGACGAGTGCGTAGACGGGCTAAATGTTGAAATTCCGGTTTTTATCTAAGTAGTTTACTTTTTATGCCTTAACTAAGTTACTTTAGCATGTATAGTCATCATGTTTAGCCTATTTTCACCTGTCTACTTGTCTCATCTCTTATTTGCAACTTGTACTTCATGCTTAGTCGAATTACCCGCTTTCTTGATTCCATATTCCTTATTTAACTATGGGATTCTTTACTTGAAATTTCTATCCTTGAAATATCGTTATTTCAGTTGTTATGTTTTGGTTTCTGTGATTATTGTTGACATGACTGTTTGGTTATTGCACGAAGTTTCTGCCATGCGGTTGTTATTGTTGTAGGAGGTTTCTGTCGTACAGCTGTTATTAGGACTTATCTTGAGTTGGGCATCCCTGATTCCATTCCTGACTAGAGAAGGGAATGCGGTGAATCACCAGATTTATACCGTACCATTGTGATTATTGATACGTATGTGGTGGTATAAGGTCTGGTTGTTTAAATGCATGCGGTGAGATAATGTGGGCTTGATATGTGTGACTAGTAGGGGAACTACTAGAATGCATGCGGTGTGATAAGGTTGGCTAAAACGCGGGATGCTATTTTGGGGAAATAATTTTCAAAAGAAAATATAAAGGCTTCCGCGGTGATATAAGAAAAGATTGTGAGATATTTACTTTTGGGACTACGGGGCGGTATCTCGGGAGTGCCCCTGTTGGTTTTCTCTATTTGTTATATTATTGTTGTTGTTGTTGTTCCTTCACTTGTAAGATTTTTGCTTTCCTTTCATGTTGTATTTGTCTTTCTTTGATTCCGTATTATTACCTTCCGTAAATTTTCATTACTTCACTTCTCTATCATTTCATTATATTATTATATCTTCTGCCTTGTTTCTTATTATTTCCAGTAGGGCCTGACCTGATCTCGTCACTACTCTACCGAGGTCAGACTTGGCACTTACTGGTACCGTTGTGGTGTACTCATACTACATTTCTGCACATATTTTTGTGCATATCCAGGTACTGCCTACCAGACCAGGTACCCGTGAGCTAGATATGTTTTATTCGCATATTTTCATCTAACTAAGCATCTTTAAACACATTAACATAGAGTTCTAAATTCGCCTCTCCCCTGAAATATGAACTGGTTCCGGCAAGTCTTTAAACTCACAAGAAATGTTTTATTAAGCTCTGGACAATAAAAGGCTAGTGACAATGCCATAGCTGTTAAATATCGGGGGACACCTTGAATTCATTTGCCACATCAAATGCATCAATACCAAATAAATCAACCACAAAGGCCATTATTTTCTTGGATTCAATAATTGACCTAAAAACCTCACGAAGAGAAGCAAGAGAACGAGTAATAGTAAGGAAAATTCGGGTTTCAATTTTAACATCAAGGTGCAAATCGTGAAAATTAACTGGTGGAAGAAGGAGAAAATTAATGCTAGAGGGAAGGGCATTAAGGAAATTATTTTGAATTTTAGAGATGGGGCTATCAGCAGGAAGAACGAAAGTTAAAAAGAAGTGTCGTTGTAAAACTAGTCGTTCGACAAATTCAACGAGGAATTAGGTGACCTATACCAGGATTTGGTTGCATAATTATATGGGGATTTTGTGATTGTGTTAGCATTTGAGTTTCAGCCATTGTGGTAGAGTGAGTAGAGCTTGGATAGAGTTGATTTATGGTCTTGAACAATAATAACAACATGACCAGTATAATCTCACATAGTGGGTATGGGGAGGGCAGTGTATACGCAGACCTTACTCCTACCTTGTGGAGGTAGAAAGGCTATTTCCAATAGACCCTCGGCTTAGGCAAGCATAGGTACCACAATTCTAACAAGAAAATATGATGGGACAACACCAAAAAATCATGTAAAAGCAGCATGGGCTTGAGAGAGGTTAAAAGAGAGAAACAATGATAAAGAGAATAAGATGAACCAATCACTATAGGCATAGCTTTTCTCTTTGGTGGTAAATCGAGAATAGAGAAGACTAGGTGGAGGGTGTTATTATATCCCCAAGAAACAAATAGGATTAGTATTTTCTTGTAAAACAACACAGTTAAATTTATACGTGGTTTCTAGACAAGTGAACTAATTTGATCCTGAAATAATTCAATAATTGAAGAACTGTACAATACTTAGCCTTGAATTGTAGATGAAACATCATAGATGACATTGTCGGGAACAAGGTTTCCGGGCACAGCAATGATGAGATCAAAAAGCAAGAAAGTAAGATTGTATTAAGCTTTGTATAGAATAAATTCGTATCATTTACAATGATAACCGAGCTCACTATTTATATCTATGTCTAGGGTAGAAGGTCCTAGGATTGTGCCCTCCTTTAATGTCAATTATGAGGGTCATTGATGAACACGTAACGGTGAGCATAAATGCCAAATTCTCTGTAATAGACCGTCGCTCTTAATGCTGCATAATATTCCCTATTAAATGCTACGGGGCACAGAGCATTTAACACACCTTTATGAACGTTATCCTTTATGGTGATAAGCGGAATGGCTGTATTCGGTCTTCGGCCATCCCTGTCTTGGGTTCCGTGTGTCCTCCTTTTAGAGGACCTCGTCTCATATCATATTTCATCCTAAACAGATAGTCCCCCTACTTTCCGGTGACATAACTTTTGTATTATCGAGAAGTTGGTAGAAACACCCTCTGAAGGTTCCTGGCAGTTGATTAGACGCATGTCTCTCCGCATTTAATGCTCCGAACACGCATCATCCCATGATTCAGCACGTCTTTTGCCGATTGTCGAGGTAATCATGGCCATGAATTTAGCCACCAAAATTTTACTTATACGCTATATTCTTTTCCTTTGCGTTTCATAACTTCTCGAGCTTCTGATTTGCATCTTATTTTTCCATCCTTTCTTTAATTCTCTTCAAACTCAAAACCTTTTACTTCTTCTTTTTCAATGGATTCTTCCTCCAAGCGTGCTAGTTCTACAAAGAACAAGAACAAAACTAGGACTATGTTCCTCCAATGGTGGGTTCCATCATCCCAAGAAAACTTAGAACGACAATGGATCTTGAAGATAAATTCCCTACTGCTAACCCTCGTACATGGGTTGTTAGTAGGTACCCTTCTTCCAGTCATCCTTCCAGTATTCCTGTTGTGAATGAAGATTTCCGCTGCCATGAGTTGGATATCATTGCTCCTGATCTATCGGAGCGAGTGACCCTTCCCAAGGAAGAGTTTACATACTTTTACACGTATCCCTTTACTTTAGGTGCATTTTCTTTGAGTGGAGAGCTTGATTCCGTGATTGCAGAGTTTTGCCTTCACTACCAAGTGTGTTTGGCACAGGTAAGTCCTTCAGTGTGGAGGACGGTCGCCTGTCTTCAACGCTAGTGCCAGGAAACTGGAGAAGAGCTAACCTTAGCTCATATGATGAATCTCTATTCTCCCAAAGTCTTCTGTGGGGGAATGATAAACCTCTTCAAGCGTGGCCACCATGCTTTGTTGTCCAACATGGATGATGACAACGACTGTGGGGTGGATGGAACGGTCATTCTGACAACGACTTCATCCTTTCCGTCCGCTTGGAACCGCACTCATTAGTACTTTGTTTAGTATTTCTTAATACTAGATATTCCTTTATAGCTATATCAACTCTTCACCCTTCGCATGTTTCGACAACTCGATGGATCCCACCGGTGGTGGAAGGTTTGGACCAGTGGGTTTAGAAGATCTTGGACATCACGATGCCTGAAACTCGTTTGTGGAAAGAACTGGCCCTTAAATATGGGTGGAAGGCCAAAAATCATGGTAATTTTAATTTACCTTGATTTTATTTATTTTTTGTATATGAAGAACTTGGTTGACCCTTCTGACTTGTTCACGAAATTAGGTCTACCTGCGGGCTCTGTTGCTATCCCCGAGGAGGACATTTTGGCTGATTCCGCTGATGCAGTGAGGCTGCTTCAGGAAGCACTTACTCGAACAGGTATCTCCGGGCCTGTTTCGGGTGCAAACACTTCTTTATGGAGTCCTCGACTGGAGGATAAGCAACCAAAGAGAAAATGTTCCTCCGCGGCTGAAGAAAAGAATAAGAGAACAAAGACTGATGCCCCCGAGTCAACATCAATGGCAATGATGACTGGTCCTCCTTTCAGGCCGTTCATAGACACCGTGATGATTAATGATGATGAAGAAGCTAGTGATGAGGGAGCTTCTCTACATAGAAGGCGATGATCCTCATCATCTCAACGGGATGCTCGACCTGTTGAGATAGTTACACCAACTGAGATGATGTCTCGGCACTTTGGGGAGAATCTGATTTGGTAGAAAATGCCACCTCCCATTTTTGGGCCCCAATTATTGTAACCGGTGTTGCGGGGTTGAGTATCGGGTCCTTGCCGTCTTTGGTTGGAGAGCATCCAACAACCAACACTACATTTGATGCATCTGCTTCTCACTCCTCAACTCCATCAGCTTCGTCTCCACTTTTACCAACACCAGCAACTGCTACATCACCTCCATCGGTCACACCTGACCATGAAGAAGGTGTTCCTCTTCCACAGTCCCCAGTTCATGGGAATTTGGGGAAAAATTATGGTGCCCCTTCTGAAGATCCACAAAAGTGGAGGAACGTTACTCTTTCAGTCTCTACCGGATGCAACTTGCTATCCCAGCCGGTGAAGATTGCTAATTATCTGAAGCCTTTGGCTTCAGAAAAAGACTGTGAAATATTCAGGCACTCTCGAGAGAGTGCTTGTTGAACAATGTCATGCACAACGCCGCAGCAGTACGTTCTTTTCTTCCTTCATTACTTCTTTTAATTTTGTATGAATGTATTCTAAGTTTTACTTCTTCTAGTTTTGTAGGCCAACTTTCTTGCTTCTGAGAGCCTTCAAAGGTTGATTCGTGAAAAGGAAGAACTTACTTCCGAATGGAATTATCTTTTGGGGGAACAAGACCAAACTATTCTCCACCTCTCGGAACTAGAAAGCAAAGCTAATGAGGTCGTTGTTTTGGAGGCTCGCTTGCAACAAAGAGAGCAAGAATTGGCAACCCTTAGCCAAGAAATTGTCCTGCTGATGGTTAGATTTAATGAGGCTAAGGCCAAATGGGTTGAAATTCAGGACGTCATTCTTGCTGCAACCGAGCGCGAGGCTGCTAATGCCAAAAAAGTAACTAATTTAGAAGCAGCTTTGAACTCCAAAATCAAAGAGCTCGCTGTTGTGGGGGCGAAACACGCCTAGCTAGAAAAGAAGTATAAGAAAACTATCGAGCATAATAGGCTCTTTAGTTCAACTGTCCGCGACCTTGACGTCATCCTCAAATCTGCTAGGTCCTCCCGGGAAAGCCTTTCTACCAAGGTTACCCGACTCAAAAAAGAACATAAGCGTCGAGCGGCTTCCCTCGTTATTGAAAAAACTTACTCCATGTACAGCATAAGGAGAAAAACCTTGGAGGAGGCCAAAGTTGGTATCATCGCCTTGGATGCCGAAATTGCTAAGGCCCGAGAGTTTGAGTTAGCTGCTAAACATGGACTCCTGACGCAGTCTGATGCTCCTAGTTCTTCTGGTTCCGATTCAGAGTTTTTGGAAACTGAAAAGGGATCGGAAGGTGACGATGTTGAAGACCAAACTAGGGAAAACGTCGAGCCATCGGTGGACTCCTACATCTCCCGGGAATGTGGACACTTCTCCTCCTCCTGGTTCAGGAGGTGCTGTAGTGTAGCTTTTCTTTTCTTTTTCCCATTTTAAACTTTTACCGTTTTGGCATGTTCTTGTAAATAAAGACATATTTTTGCTCAAGTATCGTTTGAGTCTTACTTCCGTTTGAATATCCATGTAAGTCTTTAATCTTTGCATTTGCTCAAGAGTTCAACGCACGTTTTCCTGTTCGTGCTTTCCTATGCGTAGTCTCGAATGTGTTTTCCTCGAAGCACTTTGGTTCCTAGCATTATCCCTTTTTATGTGAGGGTTTCTATAAGTATTTGCGCAAGTTTACTTTTTGCGTCCTTTTCATATGTGACTTCGTGTGTATTTTTTCCCTGAAGGTATTTTTAATTTCGGGCATAGATTCTTTCGGAACCAACCCTTTAACGTGAGGGTTTTTATAAGAGAGGGCCCTATGATGTTTATGGTACTCTTGAAGAGGGTGTATCATGTTCATTACGTTACTAACATTTGAAGTACTTGTTTAACTTTCAAATTAAAAAGTTTATTCATCGTTCAGACAAGAAGCAAGATAAAAACAGAAGGATTTCATTTTATTCCTTCTATTTTCAAAAAATACATAAGCATTTGTTGTGCTGAAAAGAAATTGTCATTACTTGTGGCTATCTTGTACAACTTATTTCTACGGGGCTGGTTGTGCAGTCCTCGGTCCCGATGATGTGTTTAGTTTTCGGATTTTCATTCCCAGGTTGACGTGGCAGTCATTGTTGCCATATCCTCATATCATTTCCCCAAGTGTTCGAATGCGAAGAGTGCGAATTGGAACACTGGAAGTCTTGCATCCTCGAAGATTCCACTAATGAATTGCTAGATAATCCTCAACTTGGTAACACAACTTTACTTCCCCTCAGAAATGTATGCTATCAACCGAAGAAATATCTAACAACCCTCTAGTGGTTTGTGCTCGTGAACGGTTGGATAACCTTTGTTTGGTAGCAAACTTAACTTTCCAGTGGGAATTTGCTATCGAACCAAAAATTATCTAACCGTCCCCGAGTGTACGCTTGCATGTTTCCCTTGCTATCAAAGGTCTTATTTCCGTTGTCTTCTTAGTTTACTTTCTGTTGCTGACTCATTAAATACCTTGCCAGAAAAACCCAATTGGGACAAAAACTGAACGAAGGGAAAAAGAGTGCAGCACACACTTTTCGCTTGAATAATGTTCATCAGCAATAATATCTTTTGAGGTGTGCCATGTTCTAGTTGCTAGGCAACTTGTCTCCATTCTGGTTCTCCAACTTGTATGACCCTTTTCCAGTGATAGCTTAAATCCGATAGGGACTAGGGGTGTTCGTGAAAAATCGAACCAAACCAAACCGGAAAAAAAACCCGACTTTGTTTTGGTTTGGTTTTTAATTTTAAAAATCGATTAATTTTGGTTTGGTTTTGACCGTAAAAAACCAAAAAAACTCGAACCAAACCGACTATATATTATTATATATAATTATTTTTAAAAATTATGAATATAATATATATATATATATATATATATATATATATATATATATATATTCTTGTACTCTTGGGCTTTGTATTTTAATTGAATAGATTTGGGCCTTAACAATTTCAAATGCTTCAGCAGAGAATAGCCATATTCTAATACAAAGCACCAGCCCTCTCAACTCCCAATGTGTCTTAAAATTACATTCATTCCAAAGAAACAAACCAATAGACAGTGAACCCTAGCTGCTTCTTCTCTCAAGTTTCCATAGGCAACAGTGAACCATAACTCAAGTAGAGATTATTGTGACTGCAGACTGCAACTATGAGTAATGAGCAGGTTGTTTCCTTCGCTTAATTTTATTTTTAATTTTTGTTGTTCTTTCTATTATATTTTAAAGTGGGATTTTCTTCTACCATCATTTATTTCTCCTCTGTTTTTAGATTTAAATGTTCATCTGACTGTAATAATCTCATGTGGTGTTGGATCTTCAATAGCTTCAATGTTTATATGCAATTTTTTTTATGTATTGTCATTTTTGAATTTTGTTGTTTTTAACCGTTGTTACACATTTTGTCTCTCGCAGATGGAAACAACGACTTCAAAAGTAGAGGTGAAAGTTCTTTCAACTACATAGAAACTTCCTCAATTAGAAGGTAACAACACTCTTGTTGCCGATTCAAGTATATTCACACCTCCTAAAAAGCATAAAAGAACAACTCCTTCTGAAAATAATTCTAGTATCGGTAATGGAAGGGAAACATCTGAAATTTGGAAACACTTTACCAAATTTATAGATAAAGATGGTAAGTGGAAGGCGAAATATCATTTTTGTAGTCAAAGCTATTGTTCTGATAGTAAGAGAAATAGGACAACTACATTATGGAACCATCTAACTGGTATTTATAAAAAAATCCCCTTTTAGATTCATTGATAGGAAGCAATCGACAATTAGGCCTATTCCTATTAAGGAGGGGGACAAGGAGGTACTAATGATACTTGTAAGCTGGAAAAAATTGTGTACAATGTCAATAAAGTGAGAAAAGCTATTGCTGAATTTGTAATCATTGATGAACAACCTTTTAAAGTCATTGATTTTAAGAAATTGATGTCAGTTGTTTTGCCTAACTTTGAGTTGCCCTCTCATTTGACTGTTACTAGGCAGTGTTTGAAAATTTATCACGAAGAAAAAGAAAATCTTAGAAAGTTTATCCAGAACTAACATGTATGTCTCACTAGTGATACATGGACATTACTCTAGAACCTAATTTATATGGTTATAAATTCTCACTGGATTGATGATAACTGGAAGTTACAGAAGAAAATTCTTAACTTTTTTCAAGTTCCAGATTATAAGGGTGAAACGATTGCAAAGGGGATTGAGGCTTTTCTGTTAGATTGGGGGATTGAAAAACCATTCATTGTGACCCTAGATAATGCAAGTGTGAATGATGCTGCGATTAGACACTTGAAGGGGAGGATTGAGGATTAGAAAGGAATCATCTTGAGAAATAACTTTCTACATGTAAGATGTAATGCTCACATTCTGAATTTAATTGTAAAATAAGGGTTAAATGATCATAATGAATCCATTACTCATTTCAGGAATGTTGTAAAGTATGTTAAGTCATCTCCTGCAAGATTTGCTTCCTTTAAGTCATTTGTTGAAAAGGTAAAGATAGAGAGCCATGGTCTTTTGAGTTTAGATGTTGAAACTAGGTGTAACTCGATATATATGATATTGAGTGCAGCTATTAAATTTGAAAAAGCCTTTTCAAGAATGTATATTGATGATCATAAGTACCAAAAGCATTTTACAGAAATGATTGGAAGAGGCAGGCATCCAAATGGGGATGATTGGAAGAAGGTAAAAGATTTTATAAAGTTTCTTGACATTTTCTACCAGATTACTCTGAAATTTTCGGGGACTCTGCATGTTACTTCAAATTCTTTCTGCCATGAGCTTTTTAATCTTCTTAATTTTATTACAAATAATTCTCATGGTGATGATTCAATTTTGATTGATATGGCTGATAAGATGAAAGTCAAGTTTGAAAAATATTGGGGTGACTTTGATAATATGAACATATTATTATTTGTCGTTGTTGTGTTGGATCCCAGATATAAAATAAAATATGTGAACTTCATCTTTGCCAAATCTTATGATCCTTTGGTGGAAAATTTAAGGTCAACAAGGGTGATGAATATTTTATCTCGCTTGTATGATTACTATAAAGATTCTTCTTCTCGAACTTCTGATGAGAATCTGGGAAGTCCATTTAGAATGATGAGTGAAAGTGAGAATGGTGAGATATGGCACTCATAATGGGAAAAATATGTGCAAGAGGAAGATGATGGTGGAAATAAAAATGATCTTGACAGGTACTTGATGGACGATTTGGAGTTGACCAAACATTTAGATATCTTGGCATAGTAAAAAGATGCAAGTAAGAGGTATCCAATTATTTCTAGGATTGCAAGAGATGTGCTTGCAATTCCTATTTCTATCGTAGCATCTTAATCGGCTTTCAGCATCGGTGGACGGATTCTTGATTCGTATCGAAGTTCTTTGTCGCCAAAGACGGTAGAAGCTTTAATTTGCACTCAACAATGGTTGAGGTCAACTCCTAAAAAATGCATTGTTGAAGATATTCTAGAGAAAATTCAAAAGCTTGAAATGGTTGAGAAAGGTAACTTTATATGTCTAACTCTTTATGAATATTTTTATATTTGTAAATTACTTAATGATATTTTTTCTTTCTTTCAGAATACTCCGACAGTGTTTTGAGCATTGATTAACTTGGATGATGGAACCAACTTCAACTATATCCTTGTTGCTTGAAATTTCGGATGTAATCTTGATATCATTGTTTTAGTTTACCATATGAAAGACTGAGTATTCTATTATGCCTTTATTATTGTAATGTCTTTTGTGAATTTTTTGATGTCATCTTTCTAAAGATGGTGTTGGAATATTGGTGTTAACGGTTGACACTTGACAGTACATGAAATCAAAGAGTATTTGAATGTATTTTTATGAGAACGTCTACAGATGTTTTATGAAAAAATCAATTTAGTAGAAGAATATATAGTGTTTTATGTTTTATGGAAGAATAAATAGTGTTTGAAAGTTTTATAGAACTATTTAGTAGAATGAAATGAGAGTGTCTGAAAGAATTTTCTAACTTCAGTTTAGTGGAACAGTTGGCATTTGAATGTGCAGAAGAATATTGAGGAGGCTTGTTAAAATGTTAGATTTGGTAGTCCATATCCAAGGTATTTTTGCAGTAAAGTTTAGATGTACAATGAAGTGCAGGTCAATAGGGTGCTTCTGGGAGCTTGTTTTTAAAAAACCCAATAAAAACTGAAAAACCGATAAAAACCGACAAAACTGAATCCATAATAAACCGACTCAATTGGTTTGGTTTGGTTTTAATATTTTAAAAACTAATAAAATTGGTTTGGTTTCTCTTTATGGGAAAACCGGCCCAAATTGAACCATGAACACCCCTAATAGGGATCTTCCCACGTTAGACCTAGCTTCCCCGCATTAAGCTCCCGGGTGTTTTGGGTTACTTTTCTCATAACCAAGTCTCCTACTTTGAAATAATGGAAGTTGGCTCTTCGATTATAATATCGATCAATTCTCTGCTTTTGAGCTACCATTCTTACATGCGCCAAGTCCCTGCGTTCCTCGAGCAGTTCCAAGTTGATTAACATCACCCCGTTGTTCGATTCTTCATCTGCCCAAAAATATCTCAAAGTAGGTTTACCTACTTCCACCGGGATTAGGGCTTCAGCACCGTACACAAGGGAAAAAGGAGTTTCTACTGTACTCGATTTGACCGTTGTTCGGTAGGCCTATAGGATTCCGGACAATTCTTTGGGCCATTTGCCTTTTGCCGCTTCCAACCTTTTCTTGAGTTTTTGAATAATCACTTTGTTTGTTGACTTCGCCTAACCGTTTGCGCTCGGATGATAAGGGGAAGATGTGATCCTCTTTATCTTCAAATCTTCGAGGAACTTTGTAATTTTTGCGCCGATAAACTGTGGCCCATTATCGCATGTTATTTCTTTTGGTATTCTGAATCTGCACATTATGTTTTCCCACAGGAAATCGACCACTTCGCGTTCTCCGATTTTCTGATAAGGACCTGCCTCCACCCATTTAGAAAAATAGTTAGTCAAAATTAAAAGAAACCTTACCTTTCTGGGAGCCGGTGGCAGCGGTCTGACGATGTCCATCCCTCATTTCATGAATGGCCATGGGGACAGAACAGAATGTAGGGGTTTCGTTAGTTGGTGTACTAGTAGTGTGTAGCGTTGGCACTTATCACATTTTCGTACAAAGTCTTTGGCGTCTTGTTCCATGCGAGGCCAGTAATATCCTGTCATACCAACTTTAACACCAAAGAATCTGCGCCCGAGTGATTGCCGCATATCCCTTCGTGGACTTCTCTCATGACATAATTAGCTTCTGACGCTTCTAAGCATCGGGCCAGCGGGCCTTAGAAGGATTTTCTATACAATTGGCCTCTCTTGAAGCTATATCGTGCAACTTTGGCGCGTAATGACCGTGATGCTTTGGAGTCTTCAGGATTCTTCCCGTTCTCGATATAGTTGATTATTTCATTTCTCCAGTCCCAGACCAGACTAGTCGAATTTACCTCATAGTAATCGTCCATATCCAGAATTGAGTTCATCAGTTGTACTACCGTCCCGGATTCCGATCCTTTTATTTTCATCGATGATCCTAAGTTTGCTAATGCATCCACTTCTGCGTTATCCTCCCTCGGGATGTGAGTGATTGACCACTCCCAGAATTGCGCCAAAAGAGCTTGGACCTTTACCATGTATTGTTGCATACGTTCTTCTTTGGTATCAAAAATCCCATAGACCTGATTTACCACCAGCTGCGAGTCACATTTAATTTCGATAACCTCAGAATCAAGTCCCTAGGACAATTCTAGCCTTGCAATCAAAGCTTCATACTCTGCTTCGTTATTAGTTAAAGCGATCGTTTTGATGGCCTGCCTTAGGGTTTTCCCCGAAGGCGTGATTAAGACTATTCCGAGTCCAGGCCCCTTTACGTTGGAGGCTCCATCCATAAATAAGGTCCAGACCCCCGATGTTGATTTTGACACCAATATTGCCTCCTTGGTTTCCAGAGGCAATCAGCCAAGACTCGCGACTTAATTTCAGTCCTTGGTTTGTATTCTATGTCAAACTCACTCATTTTAACGGCCCATTTGGCCAATCTGCCCGAGAGCTCGAGTTTATGGAGGATGTTCCGCAAAGGAAAGGTAGTCACCACAGCTATCGGGTGACATTGGAACTAGGGCCTCTGCTTCCGAGTGGCGACTACGAGAGCTAAGGCTAGTTTTTTCCAAATGTAAGTAGCAAGTTTCTTCATCCGTTAAAATTTTGCTAACGTAATAAATGGAAAATTGTGTACCTTCATCCTCCCGGACTAAAACTGCACTTACCACAACTTCTGAAATCGCGAGGTAGACCAGCAATGTTTCACCTTCTTTTGGTTTTGAGAGAAATGGAGGGCTCGATAAGTACTTCTTTAGATCCCTCAGAGCCTACTGTCACTCCGGTGACCATTCAAAAGTATTCTTCTTTTTGAGCAGTGTAAAGAAGAAATGACATTTTTTCGATGATCAGGAAATGAACCTGCTCATAGCTGCTAATTTTCCTGTGAGCCTTTGGACTTCCTTTATGTTCGACAATTGATCCGGGATATCCTCTATGGCCTTGATGTTTGTCGGGGTTTACCTCAATTCCCTTTTGTGAGACCAGAAATCCTAGAAACTTAATGGAACTGACCCCGAACACGCACTTCTCGGGATTAAGTTTCGTGTTATGCTTCCTCAGGATGTCAAATGTTTCTTGCAAATGCGTAAGATGGTCACTTGCATTCAAAGACTTAACGAGCATATCGTCTATATAAATTTCCATAATGTTTCCTATTTGCTTTTCGAAAATCTTATTAACGAGCCGTTGATAAGTGGCTCCGACGTTTTTCAACCCGAAGGGCATTACATTGTAACAATATGTACCAAAATTCATTATAAACTAAGTTTTTTCCTAATCTTCCTGGTCCATCTTGATTTAGTTGTACCCGGAATAAGCATCGAGGAAACTCATCAACTCGTGCTCGGCTGTGGCATCAATCATTTGATCGATATTTGGTAGTGGGAAGGAGTCTTTTGGCACGCCCTATTAAGGTCTTTATAGTCTACACACATGCAAAATTTATTGTTCTTCATAGGAACTACTACTATATTGGCTAGTCAGTCTGGATATCTTACCTCTCGGACCGAACCGATTTTAGGCAAGCGGGTTGCCTCATCTTTGACGGATTTATTCATGGCCTCGGCAATAGTGCGTTTCTTCTGCCTTACCGGAGGTTGGGATCCAAACTTAACTTGTTCACGGCTATTTCCGTCGTGATACCTGTCATATTCTCGTGCGACCATGCAAAACAACCAGCATTAAATTTAAGGAATTCAATAAAACCAGACCTGAGCTCCGGGTGCAGTCCTATCCCCAAATGGAATTTTCTCTCTAGGAATTCCTCGAACAATGCAACTTGCTCCAGTTCCTCCGCCGTAGATTTTGTTGGGTCCGTCTTTTCTGGAACTTGAAAATATCTTGCCATCTGATATTGTTTTGACGACTCTGCTTCCAGGCTAACTCCTTCTTTCTCGGGAGTAGGTGTCAGTTCCTGTAATTGCTATGACGTGCATTCCTTCCCTTTGCTACTGGAAACTAATATTGCATTCATCTCCCTTGTTGTCGGTTGATCACCTCTTATCTACTTGATTCCTTCCGGTGTTGGAAACTTCAGCAATTGGTGATATGTTGAGGGAACAACTTTCATCTCGTGTAACCATGACCTTCCCAAGATGATGTTGTATCCCATGTCACCATCTACTACTTCAAAGAGAGTTGTTTTCATTACCCCTTCCACGTTTTTGAGCATCAAAATCTCTCCCCCGTTCGTAACGCTCGCAAGGTTGAATCCAGCGAGGAGCTTTGTTGCCGGGATAATGCTTTAGGTGATTTTAGCTTACTCCAATACTCTCCATTGTATGATATTATCCAAACTTCCTGGATCTACCAGAACATGTTTAGTCTTAAAATCTAACACATTTAAAGAAATTATTAGTGTGTCATTGTGTGGTAACAGCAATCCATCTGCGTCCTCCTCCGTGAAGGTTATATCGTCTTCCCAGAGTCTTTTACTATGAGTTATTGATACTTTCATCTTCTTTGCTACCGAAAAGGTGACCCCGTTAATCTCATTCACCCCGAAGATCATATTGATCGTTTGGCGTGAAGGTTCTTATCCTGCTTTCGAAAGTTCCGCATTGTCTCTATTACGACTATAATTGGTCTTAGCTCGGTCATTCAAGAATTCTTTGAGGTGATCGTTCTTCAATAGTGTTACCACCTCCTCTCGGAGGTGTCGGCAGTCCCCTGTCCGGTGACCGTTCAATTCATGGTACTCGCACCATAAGTTGGGATCTCTCTGGCTGGAGTCGGATCTCATAGGTCTCGAGAATCGTGCATCATTAATATTTCTCATGGCTGACATGACCAGCTCCACTATACTGATGTTGAAGTTATATTTCGATAACTTGAGGTAAGAAGGATCCCGAGACCCTGACGTCTCCTTGTCCTGGAGTGATCTATTTTTTCAACCACGATCGGTCCCTCTGTCAGCGATGAACTTGTTTGCTACCCGGAAGTTTCTGCCACGGCCTTCGGTCCTTATCTTTGACTCGTACCGGTTATGGACATCTGCCCAAGTTGTTGCTTGGAATTCAAACATGCACTCCTTCAGCTTCCGGGAAGCGTCTGGGCTTCTCGGGTTCAATCCTTTGGTGAATGCTTCTGCTGCCCATTCATCCGGGACAGCCGGGAGAAACATTCTTTCTTTCTGTAATCGGGTAACAAACTCTCGTAGTAATTTGGATTCTCCCTGTGCGATCCTGAATATGTCAGCCTTCCAGGATTGTA